TCAGCTAATGGATGTTTCCGCATATAAAAGCTATCTTCAGCTGTAGCTCTATAGGTTCACAACGCTACAAATCGGGTTTCGATGCTCGCGGTGGACATAACACAGATATCCCATTGTGTGACTTTGTACTTAATAAGAAACAAAACTTCTAGAATAATCTGAAGTAGGAAACAACATTTTTCTGCTAATTGTTTCACGGCCTGTGAAGTGAAAGAATATAGGGACCACTGGTCAATTTTCAAGAAGAAGGAAAAAATAAAGGACGTTATTCGTAGCCAATAAGAGGACAGTAAATTTGATTAGAATGTCACCCCATCCTCCCCATTTGAGGAATAATTCAATAAATGGGTAAATGACCGTTACGGAAAACACACACACACACACAGTTGTGTTCCAAAAATGAATGAGACAAAATTTAACACTTCTTAATTAAGCGAGTAGATGAAAGAGAAATAAACAGTGGTTGAAGAAATATAACCGAGTCATTTTCCTCAAGGAGATCCATGAAATTAGATCAATAACTTGCGCAAGGTATAGATGTAAACTGCCACACCTATAGAGAATGACAGCCTAAAGAACACAGACGTGATAGCCTAGATTCAGAAGAGCTAAGATGATAGAGTTTCTTTAGAGGATAAAGATAAGCTGGATAAAACTTTCTGGACTTTAGAACTAAAGACTCTTGCATTAAGCTTAATTATTAAATGTGTTATAAGTGAAACAGTAAGCTGCTTCCATAGATTAGAATAGACTAGTATTTATCTAAACTCTTAAACCACTCTATTAGAGGATCAGAAGAAACGGGTGGTGTTAAAGAGACAAATGTCAGACGCACTTTGTGGTTACTGGAAATGTTGGTGGGGCGAAGAGTTTCAAAAAGATACGCAAAAAATTCTACTGGGTTGGACCCCCACCCCACCTCAATCCGTGTGAAAGTTCCATGGTGAATTTCCGACTTGTTTTTTGAGGGGGAAATGCCCCATAAGGGAAACTGGAGCACCACTTGGAAGAAGATCTGTTGTTAATCTAGCTTCACTTGTATACGTTGTAGTTAAATAATAAAGGGGTTGTCCCCCCCCCTCCTTGTGGCTCGGTGATACGTTAAAAATCGGGTTTCGATACTCGCGGTGGTCACAGCACAGATAACCCATTGTGAAGATTTCTGCCTAACAGAAACAAACAAACAATACATCGAAGTCGGAATGTGTTTTAAACCTTAGAGGTCAGAGTTAGTTACTGAAGAATCTGGAAATCTCTCTCGTGAAAGATACCTTTATATAGTGCTATGAAATAACGGAATTCTAAATTTAACATTGTTTATCAAAATGTTTCCCAAAACCTATAATACAAGTCTCCATCCTTGTTCAGAATGGATGGTACAATCGAATGATCGAGTGTCTCTTCGACAAGAAGAAAAAGTAAGATTGTAATCATTTACTCGTGGTTGTGAGCAATAACCCTGCAATGCCTTAAGTTACGAGTAACGCTCCTGCGTCTTCTGTGTTTTACAACCCAAGCTACAGTTGTGTTTCCCTCTGGCGGTTCCAAGCAAACCTGTTATGATTACTCCATTAATTTGAAGGAGGAGAAAAAAAACCAACAAGAAACACCGACGCTGTTGTTATTTGTCTCTAAGAGCCCGAAGTCAACTAGTAACAAGAAGAGATCTTACGATAAAAAATTCTCATAAGTCTTTAGGTTCCAGTATCCTATCATGTTGTGGCTTCGTAACATGAAGGGCAAGAAAGAGATACCCTTAAATTGATTCGATATTGGAAGGGCTTATGTGCTTGTTTTTGAATTTCGCGCAAAGCTACACGAGGGCTATCTGCGCTAGCCGTCCCTAATTTAGCAGCGTAAGACTAGGGGGAAGGCAGCTAGTCATCACCACCCACCGCCAACTCTTTTACCAACGAATAGTGGGATTGACCGTCACATTATAACGCCCCCACGGCTGAAAGGAGCGAGCATGTTGGGTGTGACGGGGATTCGAACCCGCGACCCGTAGATTGCGAGTCGAGCTCCCTAACCACCTGGCTATGCCGGGCCTAGGCTTATATGCAATAATAAGAAAGAATTAAAAAAGTTTAAAAATGACAAGGCAGAAGGAAACCCATGACTAGTTTTATTTCGTCTAATGGCGGGTGGGGCAAGAAATCCTGATATTTTTAGAAGCATACACGTAACAAAGACCGCCGCCGAAAGGGGGGAGGGGGTAAAAAGCACAAAATATTTTTT